TCTCTTCAGACATGAGACAGAGAACTCACTTCCAGTTAGCCTAGGTTGGTATTGCATAAATGGGAAATTCCAGGGACAGGGCAGGTAAACAAGGAAGTAATCTGATTATTCACCAAAAGGTTATGTGCTCATCAGGTATCTAAGAGTACCAATCTAACAGAGCAAGCTTTTGAGAGAGGGAAGGGAGGAGGGAAGAAAGGTGCAGGGTTAAGGGAAAAGAATATAGAGTAGGAAGACAAATTTAACTTTAAAAATTCCTTAATTTATCTTAAACGTAACTGTGCATCAAAACTACCCAAAGAGCTTTTAAAAGCCTAGAGTGGATGAAATAGTAAGAATAATAATTATTTTTTAAAAGTACGGAACCTAAGTCCCAGACCAGACCTTCAGAGCCAGACTTCCTGGGGCTAGAGTATAGGCATCTTCATTACTCCAGAGTTCTGAAGCCTTTTGATACTTGCTCCACAAAAATGGAATTGAAAAGACAGGCTCTGTCTAAATTGAGTAAAGGCTCTATTAAGTGTTGAATGCCTCCACCTTTAAGGGCACTATTATAATAAGGGAGTTCGAGACCAGCCTGACCAACATGGAGAAACCCCATCTCTACTAAAAACACAAAATTAGCTGGGCATGGAGGCACTGCCTATAATCCCAGCTACTTGGGAGGCTGAGGCAGGAGAATTGCTTGAACCCGGGAGGCGGAGGTTGTGGTGAGCCAAGATGGCACCATCGCACTCTAGGCTGGGCAATAAGAAGGAGACTGTCTCAAAAATAAATAAATAAATAAAACTATGGTATGTTACCAAAAAAAATTTCATTATGTATTTCTAGATGTCAGATGCTGAGTACAGAAACCACAGAAAAACCATAGGTCTCACAATTATGAGGGACGAAAGGCACATGAATGTACATATTTTTACACATACACACTAACAGTCACTGTGGACTGACTCTGTGGCCCTTATTACTACTGCTGTGTAGCTGAGAAAACTGAGACACAGACAGGTCATAGGTAACTAAACCTAACTTACAAAGCTAGTAAATGACAAAATAAGTAGCCTAGAATTTAAGTCTCTGCTCTATCACTTGATGTACTGTATTGCTAGGGCTGCCATAGTGAAATACCAGAGTGAGGGCTTAAACAATTATTTATTTCCTCACAGTTCTAGAGGCCAGACGCCCAAGATTTAGGTGTTGGTAGGGTTGGTTTCTCCTTAAGTCTCTCTCCTTGCCTTGCAGATGGCTGCCTTGTCCTCTGTCCTTACACGGCCCTTCCTCTGTGTGTATACATACCCGGTGTCTCTTTTTCTTCTTATAAGGACAGCAGTAATATTGGATTAGGGCTCCACCCCTAAGGGCCTCACTTGAACTTCATCATCTCTTTAAAAATCTTATCTCCAAATATGGTTACGTTTTGAGATACTAGGAGCAAAGACTTCATCATATGAATTCTGGGGGACACTATTCAGCCATCACACTTATTTGACGGTGTAACCTCAGGAAACTTATTAGACTTTCTGAGGCCTCAGTTTCTTCAACTGGAAAACAAGTGCTTTTGAGAATCAAATGAGATAATTCACATAAAATGCTTAGCGGAGCACCTGGCACACAGCATCATCACTTTACAGATGAGAAAAACAAAAATCAGAAATAGTAACTTACTCTTTCTTCATCTCCAAAGTAGAGTTCTTATTATGCAATACTACCTTCTTGTACAATCTAATGCACAATCTAGGAGAATTTAATGTAGTTTATAATTCTTCCTCATCTCTTAACCTGATTTCTCAGGTCTTTTAAACTTTATTACATACAAGGAAGAAAAAGAAAAGCTCAAATTAATGATCAATTCTATTAATAAAAACTTAAGCAGGTAGATGTACTACTTTCTTGAAATTGTATGTCAATTTGACTCATCCTTTCTCCTAACTTGCAAAGATAGTTGGCTGCACTCACACTGTGATGACACCTTGGAAGATCAATACCTGCTGTAACTACTAGGAAAGGCAACTCCACGCCTTTTTTTAAAATTAACAAATTATGACTGTACTTTACATTTACGTTGTACTCTTACATGCACTGTATCTATTTAATCGTCAGCCCAATCCTGGGATATTGTTTTATGTAGCTCTCCTAACAATTAGGTACAGAAAGTATTATTCCTATTTTATAGCTGAGGGAATAGCAGCACAACTAAGTTACCTTTTTTTCCTTAAAGGTCACAAAGCTTGTCAATAATTGGCAGAATTACTGACAGTATTCTCACTGACATCTTCTACCCTGAAGCCAAGGTTCTCCACAGCAGGCCACTATCTACTCGGGCAAGTTGCAACACCTAGTTTTCTCACTCTTCATGCCTGGCGCAAATACTCAGCAAATACAGCAGTCTGATTCGGGGGCAATCTTAACTAAGCTGCAGAATCTCTTTTATGTCCTCCATATGGGGCCAAGTTTTTCAGACAACTTTTGACTACCATCAGCTCCCTGGAATGACAGCTCTTTTATAGCAACAACCAACTTCCTTCTTCTCCACAGTCTAGCACACTGGGTGCTCGTTTAAGTTCATTAAGTTCAGATATTCGCGGAGAAATTGAGAGTTCAAGTGAATGTTTGTTGTAAAATCAAAACACAGATCATTCTTCCTTTAGTGATGGCAATGAGTGCTTTTCAATCACTACCATATAAAAACATTAACGAAAAGAAACATTTATAAAAAAAAAAAACCTCTCTCTTAAGGCCTACCACAAAGACTAGCCTTCAGGGCCTTCCCACACCCCAAATTCTGCAATTCCATCATAGTCTACACCTGATAAGTAGTAAAAATAACCAGCTGGAGTACCGATTCTGAGTACAATGCAACTGGATTTGTCCATGTAGAGCCAATGCAATGTTTTTAGTCTTGTAGTGTGCTTCCAGGAAAGCAACAGTTGTATGTGACAAGCAAGTCCCCAGTTCCCAGAGGGAAGTGCAATGGATAATAAAGTTGACCTGAGCCACATTGAACTTGCTCTCATCAAGACATTGTGTCGTAAAAAGGTGCTATATTAAGAGAAATCATGCTAACTTTTATTTTCTTGAGAATACATGGCTGGCTGCTTTGATTTTTTTTTTTTTTTTTTTAACTCCAAATTTGTGTTGCTGTGAACAGTTGGGCAAGTTTTTACCCTGTCATGGAAACTATCTGGCCATTTTTGCACTGTTCTGGTATGCCAGGAAGGGAGGTGAGCAGAGCTTGCCGGAACAGAGTTCTAAGCTCTGTTTGTATGCTCTCTTGTAACTTCAGGGACTTGTGAATGTCCAGTTTCTTCATAATTGTTGCTTTGTATAGCATGTTGTGTCTTGGCTACTACTACCGTCCTGGCTACCTATTTCACAGGGCTGTTGTAGGAGATTCAGAAAAAGTTTTGTGGTCCTGATAAAAAGAGTATCTGTATTCAGCAGATAAATGGAAATGTAAAGTTAAGTATCACCAGCATTACATTTCCTGTCTGAACTAATCTTTTCAAAGAACTCTGAGATCTGAGGCTGGCAAATTCACTAAAAAGGCAAAGAATTGCTTTAGGTTATCTTTGCTAAATCAAGTATCCTAAAAATATTCTTTTTTGATAACTTGATCAAAAAAGAAGAAATTTCAGAGAGAAGAGGCACACAATTGAGTCTGTAGTTCTACAAATAGTCCAATTTCAATATCAGTTTACTCACTATAATATTAAATATATATACCATATACAAAGTATTAAGCTAGATACTATAAAGAATGATGTAAAGAATGTCCTATATCCTTCTGTACTACAAGTACGCTATAAGATGTAACTTTTGTTTAGATTTCCTTCCCAAATAAGCAAAAGTTTCTAGTTTCCCTGAACAAAGAAAGTGGAAGAACAAAATAATTTTTTTCTCTATTATGATTTTCTGGCTTCATAGAAACATTTATTTTAGAACATGCTGGCAGAGTTATCTGTTAGTTTCTACTGATGAGTAGCAGGTTTCTCAATAGTGACTGAGCTACAGAATGGCTGTGACTTCCAAAGAGAATGTGATTAAATCTGACATGCATGACATGGATTTGTGTCCTTCAAATTCAGTACGAAGAGTTAAAATGTTTTATCATCAAAGGAAGAAGACCATGATTCTGTGGTTTACAAAGCAGGAAAAAAAAAGATGGGACAGAAATATTCCAAATAACTTGGAATCCAAGTCACTTGGGTTTCCTTGAACACTCTGCCATATTAAATGACATACGGCTCTGCAATGAAAGGAAGAGTTAAGACCTGTCTCACGCCCCACTTCTGCCACTGACAGAGCTTAATAAAAAAACTTCAGACAATCTTTTAAAGTTATCCAATGAAAGACAGAAATGGTAGTATGGACATATAAAGAAATAAGCTCATTAATGCTGGGTAGAAGACTTGTTGAGCAATTAGCCAGTGTCCTTATCCAATTAAGTTAAAACAGGAAGCCCCAAATTTCTTTAATGTTGTATGGTATTACAGTTTGCTAGATTGACTGTTCCAATACATAAACTCTTTGCATGTGTTTACTTTTCCCCCTAGAGTTATGGCTGAATGGAACCAACTTTGTAAGATCTGCTTCTTTCATTTTTAATATCCTATTTTTCCAAAGCCACTGAGCTGATGTCCTTCAACAAATGGAAATAGTGACTTGCTCTTTTAGTAAAATTTAATTTAGCAAATTAAAGTAAATACTGAGAACCAGGTTTATACCCAAGGCAACTAGGGGCATACTCACAAAGGAAATTTGTAGTACATCAAATGCAATTCTGAAGTTATGGTTCTGTTGAAGCTGAACCATCTTTTGGGACAGCCAATCCCAAACAAGATTGCTGTATTTGGAATTCTGACACCAAGATTGCCTAGACAACCTCTTCACAGAAATGGAAAATAAGACTCAGCCAGCTCCACGTCCCATGGTGTAACCTCACATGCAGCACATGAACAGTTCTTAGTTATTATTATTTCTGAATGAAAAGTAGATTGACTTACATGGCTCTCTGGCAATGAACTGAGGTACAGTGTTGGGCAGAGGGGTACTGGGGTTTGGAGTCCCTACGAGTTTATTCTTGGCCATCTTCGTGTTTGCCTTAGCAAACTCTAGTCGCAGTGTTTGCGGGATTTCAGGATCAAAGCGGATGCCCTTTGGAAATAAAGAACAAATGGAAGATGTTTTCATTTCTTTAGTCAAACCAGAATGGTGACAAAATAAACACCAGTAAACCCTGGTCTATCAGGAAAAAAGGTCATTCTTACTACTTACACAAGTCACATGAAAAACGACAACACAAAGAATCCCAAAAGTCAGTGGGATTTAGTTTACTTAAAAAATTTAGTTACAGATTTTCAATACCCCCTTTTTAGACAAAAACTTTCCAGTTTAAAATTTGAACCAGCAAATTCCTAGCACAGTTACACATTTTAATATATAGTAATTTCAGTTACCTTTGACCCTATTCCTGAAAGTTTATCTAAAACAGATCATATTTAGTAAAATAAATCACAGACATTATGAAAGACAAGTTAGGGCAGGACATGTCTAAGTGGAACCCTTCCACCATTCAAGAATGCCTTCATTATTAAGCATCCAATACCATGAATTCTGGACCCTACGCATCAGAAAGATATCCCAAATAGACTATATTTTAAATGTGCACCCATGGGACCCACTCAGGTCCCATGATTATATGGTGTGGTCTATAAAGGGATTGGAGTCCTGAAAATGAGTCTCCTAAGAACACAGTTGCCATTTAGTGTTCTGAATGTACACACTAAGGCCTGTGGCCTCCAAAGCATCCCCTGCCCCCCACCATTCTTCTTAATGAGCTTCAAGAAAAGTAAGAGCAATATCCACAAAAATAAGCGTCTCTTACTCCAGAGACCAGGATGAACAACTCTGAACTTCACAGGCTCAGCTTCAAGGATACAAGGAAGAGCCTGTGGCTGGATGATAATAGCATCAAGAGGAAATAAGTGGGCAAGGGGAAGGAAAAAGAGGTCCCTAGAAAGGCCTAACAAAAGCTACAGAGCCCTGATCCAGAGGTCCTGGAGTGGGTAGAATTTCTTCATGAGCATGACTCATTCATTCTGAGAAGAAACCAACTGAGGGCCGTAGCAAAAGGGTTGGGGAGAATACCCTTGTGCATACCTAATCAACACCGAAAAGCGAAGACAGTGCCTGTTTTGTGAAACCTAAAAACAAATTTTCTTAAATTGGTGTTGGTTGTATGCGTTTTTTTCTTTTTAAATTTGGGAAACCTCAATATTATTTTGCCAAAAAAGTATACAAGGAAAAACAAAACCAAAACACAAAGCTGCATTCTGAAGCAGGCTGAGGTGAAGTCACAAAGGACCTCACTGAGATGGACCAACTTCCACCCTAACAAAGCTAGTATCACAACAGAATACATCTTTCCAAGAATGGACCTGCAGAACTGTGGTCTCTGCTGGGAGACAAGCACAGTCCTTGGGTGTCATGTACAGGTATGCTGTGGAAGGACTTGCTCATTTGCACCACACTCCATCAGATACACATACAGTAGCAGCAACTTGCCATCAACTTCAGGGCATACTCCCTGGCACTAAACTTGACCAACCTTCCTGTGAAGAAGATACCTCCTAAATCTGAGCTCACATTACCATGAGTCATGTGACCCAGGCCACTGGGGATAACATGAAGAGTATCCCGGGACTTGGTCGTGGTCCTCTAAAGCATCTAGCCTCAGAAAACGAGGCTGCACATGTGAATTCCATGCCTCAGCTCTTCCACTGGTGTTCCAGAATCAACTGAAGCTCCACATAATGTACTTGCCTCTTACACAACCTGGGCTGGTGGCTCAAGTCCTAAAACATGCTGAACTAAGTTTCCCTCACTCCCTGCCCCCTTCTTTATATCCCCTTCCTCCCATCTGAGCCAAAATAACATCAACATCATGTTCCAAATCAAAGTTCCAGCATCCTTATTAAAAAAAAAAAAAAAAAAAAAAGCTCAGAAGTTAAAATGACCTAATTTGTTTGGCAGCTTATTCACAGGCCAGAGGCTTAGAATACAAGCCACATTCCTCTAACATCTTTAGCAGCAATACCATATTTGGTAATCAATATCCTGCTCGGCTAAGTTTCCATCCATAGGGATTAGCCAAGCCAAAAACATTTTAAGTGTTAAGGGTTGATGAAGAGGAGAAAGAGAGGGGCGGGAGAAGGGAGAACACGGAAATGTGTAAGAGAAGAAAGAAAAGATGAAAGAGAGGCAGATAGGAAGACGATGACAAGAGAAAAAACATTCCTTATGTTTTTAATTAAAGCCTACTAAGATTCTTTTCTGGCTACAATTACTTAACATTAAATGCTGTCAGGATAAGATTACTCCCAAGTGAAAGGGTGAACCTGTGCCTTTCAAAATCAACCTTTTCCTTTCTTGCTTTTAATCCACCACTCTTCTCATAATGAACAGAGAACCTTTCTTTTCCAAATGTAAATGGTGTCCTATTTATTAGATGGAACAGAAAGGACAGTTTCTGAGTATCAGTATATTAATTTGCAAATAAATAGCTACTTACAAGCACCCCAATCTGACTGGCTACAGGGACAACCAACAGTCTCAACTGATCCAGGTTCCATATAATCTACAGAGACTGAATTCCCCACCCAGGACAAACTCTGGGAGATAAAGGACACTGCTGAGAAACAATGTGTTCTTGTTAGTCAAGTATACTTAAGAGTGTACCAGGGCAGTTTCATGCCAGGGAGCCAGGGAAGGCACCAGAGGAAGTGATGGAAGAGGAAAAGTTCACCAGGTGCAGTTCAGGAAAGAGCTCAGCAAATTTCTCAGTAACAGGATGCAGAAAGTGGGGTGAGGTGGGAGGGGTCCAGGGTGGGGTGGCTGAACAAGCAGGCTAGGGTGAGATCCCAAAGGATCTCTTATGGGATTATGCTGTGAGTGAGGACTTTGGAGTATGTGCGTGGCTGAGCCATTAGAGTTTTAAAATGGGAGGATAATATGATCACCTTTACATAGTAGATCTGTGATCCTCAAATATTAGCAGAATCAACTTGGAGGACTTGCTAGAGTTTCTGATTCAGTAGCTCTGAGATGGAACCTAAGAATCTGCATTCATAACAAGTTCAGGGTAATGCTGATGCTGCTTGTGCATGGAGCACATTTGAGAATCACAGTGGTTGGCGGTAACTCTAGTGGTGTAGAAAAGACAGACTCAGTGAAGAGACTGGAACAGATCAGACATCACACCATTAGAGCAGCCCGCGAAGAGAAGCTGGGAGAGATGGCTACTGCCCTCTAAGCCTTCTTTGGCAAGGGTACTCAGGAGCCAATGTCTGTGTTCTGTGCCTTTATTCCTCTGATCACAGCTGCCTACTTAAGGGGCAGCTGCAGCAGCCCAAAATGACAAAAACTCTTTTCTCTTAAAAAGATTTCAACCTTGAGCCTATATAGAGACACAGAAAATGGTGTTGACCAAAGTTGATTCACCTTAACAGCCTCTCACTAGAGAAAAAGTCTCCAAATTCCTGTCACTGAGGTCTTCAGAGCACCCTCATGCCTGAAAGAGTCTTGGTTAGTTGGTACAATAAACAGTACTTCAATTCTGTGAACTTCAGGCTCCCAGTGTCCTTACAAATGGTTCTACACTGAGGTCAGTCCATCAGTCCTTGACAATGAGTTTTAGGGACAATGGAATGATTCATTTAGAGAAAAAATGGTTAAAAACAAAGCAGAGCTATACATACATATTGAGAAAGATGCCTATGGCTAGATTAAGTTAAAAAAAAGATACTCAACAATATTTACTAGTATAGGGGTAGAGGAGACTGTATATACATGTGCATGTATACTTCTCTGTTTTAAGTCCAGAAAGATTGAGAATGAGACACCCAATCTGTTAATAGCAGTCAACTTGGTGGCAGGAGTGGGAAAGGGCATAGACTTTTGTACAATTTTGCATCATTTGAAATTTTTACAAATGTGTAATTTGTAAAATCCAACACAGAATTTAAAAATAAAAGGAGAGAGGCAGAATAAGGGATTTCCTACTGGGACACAGCAGTCAACCAGCTATGTTTTAAAAAACTAGTTACTTTTTAAAAAGAACTTTATTCCAAAATAATTTCAGACTTACAGAAATACTGCAGACATACCCTTTGCCCAGATTTCTAAGATGTTAGCATTTTACCACATTTAACACACACACACACACACACACACACGCGCAAGCACACACGCACACAGCGTTTTCCATGAACTGTCATCACTTTAGTCTCCTGGAAGAGTTCTTTAGTGCATACCTTTCATGATCTTGATATTTTTGAAAACTGTAAGCCATTTATTTTGTAGAGTGGCCCTCAATTTGGGTTTATCTATTTTTTTTTGATGGGGGCGTTTAGATTCAGGTTATGTGGTTTTTGGCAGGAAGATCAGAGATGTGTGTCCTGCACAATGCATAATATCAAGAGGCACATAGTGTCACTTTTGTCCCATTACAAGTGATACTAGCTTTGACCATTTGCCAAGTTTCTCTATTGTAAATATACTGTTTTCCCTTTTTAACTAGTAAGTTTCTTAAAGACATATATTTCCAGACTATATAAATATCTTGTTTTTTAAAAAATTACTACTTTCAACACCTATTAATAATTCTTACTAGCAGCAACTGTTACTATTGTAGTTGCCAAATGGTGCTTTGGTAGTCTCTTTGCTCCTTCCCTCTCACCCCTCACCAACCCCTCAAGACAGTCTTGCTCTGTCACCCGGACTACAGTGTGACAGCACAATCTTGACACACTGCAACTCCACCTCCCGGGTTCAAGCAATTCTCCTGCCTCAGCCTCCTGAGTAGCTGGGATTACAGACACCCACCACATCCGGCCTCATTGCTCCTTTTACATACCATGTTATCAGTTTTCGACTCCATGGAAAAGCTCTCCCTTCTGCCCAATTTGTTAATAAATTATTTAATTCAGTAATGACTTACAGAGTTCTATTTTCTTCTATGCTTTGTAATTCATTACTATCATTATTTTGGTGTCCAAGTGTCCCCGAGTTGTGTACACACACTTGCTCTCACATGCAGATCTGCTTCTCTGCATCATATAGAGATATTTAAAATGTATTTCGATGTATTAAAGTTC